AAGAAATATTTACTCGTTTTAAACTTAATCCTCTATGGTCTGTAGAAAGACATCTATGAGGGTCTTATACACACACCTCCCAAGTGCCCTGATTTTTGAGGGACAGTCCCTATTTTAAACTCAAATCCCTCTGTCCCTCTTTTCTAGGAGCTCCATATTGTTGGTGTGTCTGAATGTATAACACAACTCCACAGCAATAATTCTTCCAGTAATGTGTCTGAGTTTATAACAGAGCTCCACAGCAATAATACTCCCAGTAATGTGTCTGAGTGTATAACAGAGCTCCACAGCAATAATACTCCCAGTAATGTGTCTGAGTGTATAACAGAGCTCAGTGGCGTACACATGACCCATGGGGCCCCGGTGCGAAAATTGATCCAGGGGCCCCCCCCCACGCTTACTCGGCGCGGGTCGGGGCCGCAACACATGGCGGCGGGCACCTGGTCGCAGGGGTTGCAGGGCTGCGACCCCGTGACCGCGGTATGCACACACACTTAAAGGACCACTACAGACACCCAGATCACATCAGCTCAATGAAGTGGTCTGCGTGCCAGGTCCCTCTAGTTTTAACCCTGCAGCTGAAAACATAGCAGTTTCAGAGAAACGGCTATGTTTCACTGAGGGTTAATCCAGCCTCTGGTGGCTGTCTCATTGACAGTTGCTAGAGGAGCTTCCGCGATTCTCACTGTGAAAATCACAGTGAGAAGACACTGAACGTCCATAGGAAAGCATTGAGTAATGCTTTCCTATGGGCGGTTTAAATGCGCGCGCCCCTTGCCGCGCATGTGCATTCGGAGCTGAGAGGCGAAGGGATCCCCAGCGCCAAGGGAGTCCGACGCTGGAGAAAGGTAAATGCTGAAGACACACATACACACTCACGAACAAACGCATACACACTAGCTAAACAGACACACACATTTACTGACAGAGACAAACTCAGCGACAGACATACATACACACTCACTTACAAAACATACACTTTCACTGACACACACTCAGTAACAGACACACACCCAATAACAGACACACTCACTGACACACACACTAACACAAACACACACACACACACACACTAACACAAACAAACAAACACACACTAACACACACACTAACACAAACACACACACTAACACAAACACACACACACACTAACACACACACACACACTAACACACACACTAACACACACACTAACACACACACACTAACACATTTTTTTAAAATTTAATCCCCCCAGCCTCCTTACCTTTCGGAGTGCTGGGGGGATTCCCTGGGGTCCAGTGGTGCTGCTGGGCTCTTGGGGCTCTTGGGTGGCCGGCGCGCGAGGGAGCACTCTGCTCTGAGTGCTTCCTCTTCAGCTCCCTCGCGCGCCGCATAGGGATGCCGGAGCCGGAAGATGATGTCATCTTCTGGCTCCGGTATCTATTCGGTGTGCGAGGGAGCTGAAGAGGAAGCACTCAGAGCAGAGTGCTCCCTCGCGCGCCCTCCTGCCTGCCTGCCCGGTGACAGCAGGGCCAGCCTCGGGGGGCCCTGGGGTGGTCGGCTCCTGGCCCTGTGGGTACATACAGGGTCGCAGGGGCGGCCGGGCCCCCTGGTGGGCCGGGCCCGGTCGCAGCCGCGACCCCTGCGACCCTGGTATGTACGCCACTGACAGAGCTCCACAGCAATTATACTCCCAGTAATGTGTCTGAGTGTATAACAGAGCTCCACAGTAATAATACTCCCAGTAATGTGTCTGAGTGTATAACAGAGCTCCACGGCAATAATACTCCCAGTAATGTGTCTGAGTGTATAACAGAGCTCCCCAGCAATAATACTCCCAGTAATGTGTCTCTAAACTAATAATAAATGTGTTAGGAAATCAGTCTGTGTAAATAAAATACATTTTCTAAATTACATTTTAATTGCATAAATTAATAATTAGATCATTAACGTTCTCAGAACAGCCCCGCCCCCACTCACACCACTGAAGTCAAAGTGCCCTCTTTGTCCATTTGAAATGTTTGGAGAAATGTTATACAGCAAAACAAAAAGTTATACAAATTGATTTTTTTTTTTAAATTTGTTTTCTGTAAATGTGACAGCAGTCAGAGTGGGGTTCAGGATACAATCTTAAAAAGAAATGGTCTTAAAACTTATACATGTTGCGAAGAACAATTATTGGCTAATGTTTTAATAAGGACGCAGGTCGGTTCTTTCTCAATCTGAACTAGAACTTGTGCAGAGTTAAATCTCTCACTGTAGGAGCTGCAAGAATCTGCTTGTTATCGTGGATTAAGCAAAGTTGTGCAGAATTTGTGCCCTGCGGCAAGAGGAACGAACCTCATAAATACCAGCTGTCTCGGGTCTGATGGGACAACCACAATTATGGGCTTCAATTCCAGCTTGCGTCTTCCATGCTGGGACGCAGTGTTAAAAAAAATAAATTAAAGGTTGTTTAGAAGTAACATTAAATCTATAAAAGAAACAAGGTGGATAATACTTTTTTTTTTTTTTTGTAATCTATATATTTTTATTTTTTTTAAAGAAACTTAATTCAAAAATAAAGAGAATACTCCAAGTACAAATCCCACTACATCCCAAGGGCCCACCATTGTAAGAAGTCAAACCATTACCTGGAGCCCACCGGGCATCTTCTGTATTTTAATCTTTAAGCTCTCCCTTCTGAGCCAGCCTGGCAGTGCAGGGCTTAGCTCATTGGCTGAGAGCACTCAGATAATCTCAGCCAATGAGCTCCATGCAGGAGCTTCTTGCTCTCAGTGGGCCAAAGGTAAGTTGTCGAAATGTTAGTAAACATATTGACTTCTTAAATGGGGGTAGGGGACGGGTACACCAGACTACTCCTGCCTGGCACCATAACCACTACAGTGCACTGTAATGGTTGTGACGCTTTGAGTGTTTCTTTGTTACAATAAATTATTTCCTGTGGATGTCAGTCAGCTATTCCATGCCACGCTGTTCCCCTAACGTGTAGCTGTGTTGGGCAGACTAGATGGGCCGAATGGTTCTTATCTGCCGTCACATTCTATGTTTATCTCTGATTCACTTGTGGGAATATGAACAGCTTTCTGACATCCCCTGACCTGCTCTCGTGACATCGATGGGATCAGGGGATGTCAGGCACCTTGTTGCCGAGTACACTAAGAAGAACAGGAAATGCCCAAACTCCTGCCCTTGGAGTGGGGACTAAAAATGGATGTCGCTCAGGACCCCTATATTTTAATGTGATCCCAGAGACCCCCAGAATTATAGTTGTATTCAGTTAAATAACCACAGGTCCTTCCGACTCCAGAGTGTACTTTTCGTATCCAGTTCAGGTTGGCGCAGACAGAGGGAGCGCTGTTTAGGGAGCTTTTGATAGACCCATTCCCTGGTTTAATATTTATTGGAGGGTTTTCCTGGGAGCTCACTGCGCTAAGATAAAATGGACTTGTTATCCAGCGGTTTCATGCTTTGCTGTGAAACGTGGTACCTGGGGTTAACTTTCTGAGCCTCTGTTAGAGTAGCTTTATGCTGGTAATATAATAGCAGAACAGTCAGTGGTCTTCGTTTTCAATAACATAGAGCCCGGGGGTGACTAGAAAAACCTGAAGAAGCAGAATCTCTTCTCTCACAAGGTCACGGCCTTCACGGGGTCCCAGCAGCTGCTATTTGACCTCATTTGGGTCATGAGATGGAGCAGTCACTTTAAGAAAGGAAAATGCTCAAGACAATGATTTCTTTCACTATCTTAAAAACCTACAAAAGCTATCTGCCCTTCGATGAACTCATCCAGTTCAGAAGGCCCCTCTCCCATTCCACCTATAAAACAGCTATCCTGAATGATAAATATAATAATGTTTCTATTTAATCAAACCTTACATTGTATCATGCAAATCACATACCTCCCAAGTGCCCCTATTGAGCTGGGAAAGTCCCTATATTGGGCCCAAATCCCTCTGTTGCTATTTTCTCCCCCAATGTCCCTCTTTTCTAGAAGCTCCATATTGTTAGTATGTCTGAGTGTATAACAGAGCTCCACAGCAATAATACTCCCAGTAACGTGTCTGTATAACATAGCTCCACACCAATAATACTCCCAGTAATGTGTCTGAGTGTGTAACAGAGCTCCACACTAATAATACTCCCAGTAATGTGTCTGAGTGTATAACAGAGCTCCACAGCAATAATACTCCCAGTAATGTGTCTGAGTGTATAACAGAGCTCCACAGCAATAATACTCCCAGTAATGTGTCTGAGTGTATAACAGAGCTCCACAGCAATAATACTCCCAGTAATGTGTCTGAGTGTATAACAGAGCTCCACAGCAATAATACTCCCAGTAATGTGTCTGAGTGTATAACAGAGCTCCACAGCAATAATACTCCCAGTAATGTGTCTGAGTGTATAACAGAGCTCCACAGCAATAATATTCCCAGTAATGTGTCTGAGTGTATAACAGAGCTCCACAGCAATAATACTCCCAGTAATGTGTCTGAGTGTATAACAGAGCTCCACAGCAATAATACTCCCAGTAATGTGTCTGAGTGTATAACAGAGCTCCACAGCAATAATACTCCCAGTAATGTGTCTGAGTGTATAACAGAGCTCCACAGCAATAATACTCCCAGTAATGTGTCTTTAAACTGCAATAAATGTTTAAAAAAATCAGTCAGTGTAAATAAGATACATTGTTATTGTTCTAAATTTTAGTTGCATAAGTTATTAGTAAGTCACCTACAATTTCTCCGAATAGCCCCGCCCCTGGCCACACCTACACCCTAGAGCAAACATGTCCCTCTTCTTCGATTTGATATGTTGGGAGTTATGAAATGACTTTCTATGAAGGAAGCTGCTCCTTCTGTCCAACAGTTTATCTGTCTGTCTGTCTATGGCTTTATGTAACACATAAACTACCCGGCACTCTGACTGTGTGTGAAGTAAAGCATTAAGTTGACCCTGGGAGGGAGGCTGCAGGAGGGGATCACAGGGGACATTAGAATTGCTATAAGAATGGTCATGGGACGAGTGACGACCCTCAGTTCTGTTATGGTCTTTTGCCTTTTTGGATGATTTTTACCATGATCTGTGCAGTTCTGGGTCCCAATGGTGTCAGTAAGATGCTAGATAGATAGATAGAATATTCTATAGCTTTGATTACAAACTATGTTTCTATATATTGAAGCCTAAAATGTAACTGTCTCTTCCCTGAATGGGACAGTCCCTTGTTCTCTCACCTCAGATGCTACTGAAATCGTTTCTGTGGTGATTAGTGCAGCAGAGTTAAGTATAACACACTTATCATTGCTGCGGGTATACTGACTCAGGCACACACGTGCATGTCACATCTGCCCACACGTATAGCACACGTAAAGCTAATATGCATGATATACTATGCAAACTTAAAACCCGTTGTAAGAGATGTTCAGATTTGGCAAACATGACCTGTGAGGTGTAAAGCGGTGAATTCCGTCACACAGAGGAGTTAAAGGACCAATATAGTGCCAGGAAAACATACAACACTATAGGGTCTCTAGGTCCCCCCCACACTTATGGTCCCCCTCCCGCCGGGCTTTAGGGGGTGGAAGGGGTTAAATCTTACCTGTTTTCCCCTGCCGGGCTCCCTCAGCGCAGGGAACTCCTTTTCGCTGTCCTTGGCTGAATGCGCATGCGCGGCAAGAGCCGCGCGCGCATTCAGCCAGTCCATAGGAGAGCATTCTCAATGCTTTCCTATGGACGCAAGCGTCTTCTCACTGTGAAAATCACAGTGAGAAGCGCGGAAGCACCTCTAGCGGCTGTCAATGAGACAGCCACTAGAGGCTGGATTAACCCATAGGTAAACAGCAGAAAGGGTTAATCCTAGATGGACCTGGCACCCAGACCACTTAATTAAGCTGAAGTGGTCTGAGTGCCTATAGTGGTCCTTTAAGGGTTACTCCAACCCAAAAACTTTGTAGTAATTATCTCTGTGGTGGTCCACACTCCCCCAAATGCCCCCCCCAAAATTAAAACGTTTAAAGTTACTATTTTTTCCAGCGCAGAGGCCAGATTGAAGCTCGATCTTCCATTGCTAACGTCACTCCCCATAGCAGGATGGGAAGGGAGGTCATCGAATGCAGACTGAGGACTGGGGCAGCAAGGAGCCAACATGCCAGTGCCTGTTTGGAGCCAACATGCTCTGCAGACAGACAAGAATTTTGCATAGAATTGATATCAGCCAGAAACTATGGCTAATGACGCTGGTGGAGATGGAGTTACACGATCGGTGGCTTGCAGGTTAATCTCTGTATGTGCAGCATTTCGAAGCAAAACGCTGCACTTACAGACTCCAGGCACCATGACCACTTCATATTACTGAAGTGGTTATGGTGCTTGGAGAAAGCCTTTAAGGTATACAAAGAGTGCTTCGCTGTTGTTATTCTGCAGCAGTCTGAAACGAGATGCACGGGTCACAGTTTATGAGAACAAATGCAATGGACAGTTCAGATTGCAATTTTCTGCTATTTTTTTCCTGCAGTAATATCACTCCACAAGATGGAATATTTTGGAGCAAGAGATCATGTAGTAGTAATTATGCCGGTCCTAGTGATATGGGGCAACTCTGGGGTGGGGGGAAAGGGCCTGCTGAATGAGCTTTACATCCAGTGGAAATGTTGAGTGTCCAGATATTTCATAAAAGGCTTTGTAAGTTATGGTATGAACATTGTATCAGTGGGAATCATTTTGTCCAGATTGGAGTTCATCCCTAGAATGTTAGAAAGGTCCATCACAAGATGATTGGGGTGATTTGGAGTTGTCATTCTTTAGCTCCTCAAAGGACAATGTTGGGGTAAGTCTGGTTAAACTCGACTGTATTTAGTGCCGAGGTAATTATTATTATTATTATTATTATTTTATATTTATTTAAAAAACCCTACCTAGTTCTTTCAAGCCAGCTTTCCATGTCTGAATGAATCTCTTGATGTAGCTTAATGAAAAAGTCATTGTGTTTAAACACGTGATACTCCATCCAATATGTGTAGGTTGCACAAGAGATAAGGTTCTGGGTTTATTGTTGACATATATTCACAGGATAAAGGTCTCGCTTATCTCCATGCTGCTTATAATGTCAGGTTACTTAGTGATTCTATATTGTGGCTGAAAGCAGAATAGAATTAATAACATAGCCTGAATATCTGACGGGACGGTATTTGTTTAACTCACTAATCATATAAAAGATGGAAAATATACATTTGTGCATTGGACAGACAAGAAATGCCAATATGCCAGGCAGTTCTCTCTCTACGAGAGCCATGGCAACCCCAGACTTTAATCACGGAGTGGCAGCTGGTACCCCACTAGGCATTGTCACTGGGTATCACCCGTCACCCTCAAGGAAAGTGGAATATCATCCATGAATTGTGGCAAGCCACTTAGGGAACACGCATGTCCTGTTTCACCAGTTACTGTTCAGGATTGAACTGCTTTGTCTTCCTGCCAGTACAAACCCGGGCTGTACATTTAATGAGAGAATATGCTAAGTCTAGCAGGAACCCTGCCTAGAGGGTAATTGCTCAATAAAAACACATGCTCCATTTGGTGTTTGATTGGAGGATGATTTCGCATTAAAAGATTTGGGTAGATTTTTGGGCCGTTTTTTGGCTCCCCTGACCCAGAGACATACTCATGGGCAGCAGACCCTAGATTGGTATGGGGGCTGGAGTGCTGCAAAGCTGAGCAGCTGAGATTGGGTGGAGTGTGATGGGCTGAGACAGTCTGATAATATATTCTGGGTGTAGAAGATTCAGAGACAACAGGTTGCAACATGTACATTCTGTATGTAACGTGTTGTATGAAAGGAATGTGTTATCTGTGTCTGTGTATATACTGCCTAATCCTGCACAGTGCAAGCTGTGACAGCCAGAGCCTGAGACTCTCTTATAGACCTGTCCGACCATCTATCTATCCATCGATTCACATATTCATCTTGTTCATTCATCGATCTAGTCATTCACTCGTCCATTTATCTGTCCATCTATATATCTTCTGTGCGTCTATCTGTCCATCCATTCATCCGTCTATTTACTCATTCATCTATAAATCCACCCATCTAACCATCCCCAGTGTCCCCAGATGTGGGCAGTAATGAGGCAAACTGAGAGTTTTCCGAGTTGTGTTTTACAGTGTAATTTGTGCTTAAAGGAATACTATAGGGTCAGGAACACAAACGTGTATTCCTGACCCTAGAGTGCAAACCCCACCACTAAGGTGGCTTGCTCCCCCTTACCTCCTTTAAAAGCATGGAAAAACTCACCTTAATCCAGCGCAGTGCTGGTCTGCCGGCACTGGCTCCGCGCCCTTTGTGACATAGCAGAATGGCCGATTATTTGCCAATCCAATGCTCTCTTTAGGGAAAGCATTGGATTAGCTAAAAACGGCAAGGGGCGGGCCAAATTTTTAATCAATGCATCCCTATGAGGAAAATTCAGCAACCCCATGCAGAGGGTGGAGAACCTGAACGGCAGGGCTGCTTACTGTGCAGCCCTGAGCCAGGAAGCACCTCCAGTGACCATCTGAGGAGTGGCCACTTGGAGGTGTCCCTAGGGGCAATGTAAACACTGCCTTTTCTATGAAGTGTTTGCATGAAAATGCCTGAAGGGAGCTATTATACTCACCAGAACAACTAGAACAACTAGAACAACTGTTTGTGACTAAGTGGCTATTAAAAAAAGACAGGACATAAACCACTTGCAATACCCTTGTCTACTTTTGCAAATGGTATGCCATCATGGTGGTAATTCTCATTCCTGGGCTACCATATGGTCTCACAGGTAACATAACCAATCTGGCAAATTTCAGTTTGAAAAAAATGTAATGTGCTATATTTGACCCTTTAACTTTCCAAAACACTGTAAAATCTGTTAATGGGGGCTACTGTTGTACACGTGAGACATCGTTGAATACAAATATGTGCATTTTATTGCAGTGCAAGCTAACCGTATTATGACATTCACAGCTAAAATGTCGGGCGGAACTACAATTTTGTTTTAAAAATCTTAATTTCTCAGTTTTTACAATTTTATTTATAATCAATTATGTTTCATATATGAATAGTTCATGCGAAATTTCTATTGACTCTGTCCTGAAGGGGTTAAAGTCTTCATTAAACCACAACATCACTTCTTGTCCATTCCTCTATCTAGATAAGAAAACTTAATAAAAAACGGTGCAATAGTGCAATAGGTGTATATATGCGTACTTCTATATCATTATGTTGATTATAATAACATATAAACAGAAAAACATAGTGCAAAACTTTATAACTAGCAAATCAGTGAGCCAACATCGTACTAGCACTCACAAAGGCAGAGTGAATAAAGGACCACTTTACGTTTTCTAATCTAGATGTGTGTCAATATCTAAATGGCTGCTGCACAGAAATAATGAGTTTACTTTATATCACTAAAATAGTGGAGTTGTTGTACATACATTTTTGAGCATGTGCAAATAAGTTTAATTTACATGATATATAGAATTTTTTTGTGCCATTTTTTTTATCTTAAAGGGACACTATTGTCACCAAAACAACCTTAGCTAAAATAAGCAATTTTTGTTATAGATCATGCAACTTAGTAGTTAAATCACTTTGTTTATACAGCCCTAGCCATATCACCCTGCATGTGACTAACACAGCTTTCCTAAATACTTCCTGTAAAGAGTCATCTAATGTTTACACTTCCTTTATTGCAAATTCTGAATGTTGTCTCCGGCTCTGTCAATAGCTTTCTAGACCTTACAGGAGCCTCGTGTATGTATTTAAAGTTTAATTTACAGAGTAGGGGATAAAAACTTATAAAGCAAGTTAACATCTGATTGAAAAAGAAAAAGAAACCATTTTGTTTCCATGCAGGCTGTGTCAGTCACAGCCATGGGAGGTGTGACTAGGGCTGCATAGACATAAACAAAGGTGATTTAACTCCTAAATGGCAGAGAATTCATCAGTGAAACTTCAGATGCATGATATGTAGACCCAAACTGCTTCACTAAGCTAAAGATGTTTTGGTGACTATAGTGTCCCTTTAATTATTTTGTGGACTATTTCTCTATCTGATTGTGTTATTCTCTATATAGAAACATTAATTAATCTAACCTTTATCTGTATCTAGGTATGTTTGACTCCCTCTCTGTAGATTTGCTTCCTTTCTCTACTTTCCCTAGGGGCGGACGCTCACATATTATTACAATACAAAGTAGGTCAGTCCATATAATGGGTCTCATTGTGTCTGTGTTTCTGTCAGGATGGGCGTGAAGGTGTTGCAGTGTTTTCCTTGGTCCTGGAGAAAAAAGGAGCGAAAAACTAAACGGAGTGAAGAAAGTAAGTAGGGAGGTGGTTATAATGAAATACTCTGCTCTGTCAGGGGAACAATGTACTGTCTGTCAGGGGGACAATATGCTGTCTGTCAGGGGGACAATGTACTGTCCGAGGAACAATGCACAGTCAGGGGAACAATGTGCTGTCTGTCTTAGGAACAATGTGCTGTCTGTCTTAGGAACAATGTACTGTCTGTCTTAGGAACAATGCACTGTCAGGGGAACAATGTGCTGTCAGGGGGACAATGTACTCAATGTACTGTCAGGGGGACAATGTACTCAATGTACTGTCAGGGGGACAATGTACTCAATGTACTGTCAGGGGGACAATGTACTGTCAGGGGGACAATGTACTCAATGTACTGTCTGTCTGAGGAACAATGCACTGTCTGAGGAACAATGTGCTGTCAGGGGGACAATGTACTGTCTGTCTGAGGAACAATGCACTGTCAGAGGAACAATGTGCTGTCAGGGGGACAATGTACTGACTGTCAGGGAGACAATGTACTCAATGTATTGTCAGGGGGACAATGTACTGTCAGAGTAAAGAAACTGTCTGCTCAAATAATGGGAATTGTATGAAGCAAATCGGGAAAGAGTAGAACAAAGAGAGACACTGACCAGAGGACAGAGAGTGTATGGAGCAAAGAGGGACACTGACCAGAGGACAGAGAGTGTATGGAGCAAAGAGGGACACTGACCAGAGGACAGAGAGTGTATGGAGCAAAGAGGGACACTGACCAGAGGACAGAGAGTGTATGGAGCAAAGAGGGACACTGACCAGAGGACAGAGAGTGTATGGATCTAAGAGAGACACTGACCAGAGGAGGGAGTGTATGATGGGAGATAATCAGTGCTTAGAGGGAGTATGGAGCAATAGGGCAGACTAATTGTAGAAAATGGAGTGTATGGAGCAAGAGCAGGGTATGTAGGAAGATGTATATGGAGCAGAGTCAATAAATGTGAGTGGGCTTTAGGGAGAGTAAATGTATAGAACTGAAAACAAAGCTGTTTTCAGTGTGTAGGGTGAATATTGTTGTCCTCACACCTGTCTGACCTCTTCATCTTCCTTGTCCATTATATCAGCTGCTCCTCAAGCTCCCCCTCCAGAGAAGCCAAAACTCCAGTCCACCTCATCAGTGACCAGTGATACGGACTCACATCAGAAAAGTGCTTACTTCAGCGGAAAAGCCAGAGTGTCCTTTCGTCACCAGATGGATTCAGCCATGTTTGCCAATGACTCTACCTTCTGATCTGTACTAGAGAAGTGAATATTACAAGAGCAAGATATGGACATCTTCTCATATTGACAGAAGAAGCGTAGTGAGAACTGTTACTGTTTTTGGAGCCAAACTAACAAAAATAATGGCTGTACATGAGCCTTAGACATAGACGGACATCGTGTTTTATTTCCCCCCATTCCCTGATAACACAATATGTAGATAAGAGGTCTATTGTTGATCACTTGGCCGACTTGCCAGGTTGGTTTCTCTTTTAATAAAGCTGATGCAGGAAAGTGAGGAATGTGCCATGTTAGTACACACATGTACCAAGTATACATCCATACTTGGCCCTCTATTTACAATGAATGCCAAAAAAGCAGCGTATTTAGAACCATTCCAACCACAGCTGGTTGGCACAGGAACCTAGACTAGATAAATGTATCCATTCTTTATGTTGGACTTTGTAATGTTTATCAGAATTGCTTTGCACCTTGAAATATCCAATCGCCTGCTTTATATTTACATTTTTCAGTGAATTGAGTAGACATGCTCCTACACACTGCGTTCCTATCTAGGAGAGGGCTTGTACACCATATATGAGGCCTTATGGGACATATCTCCTTATATCGTTTCATATATTGTTTTAATTTCCTAAATCACCTACGTGTACAAATGGAAGATAATCAGTATTGGCTAAAGGGTCCGGGTTTTATAAAGATTATCTTTGTAACAAATTCAGGCCTTGGCCACTCACATATAAATGCTTACAGGGAACACCGGCGAAGGGTAGTAGAAATGGATGGATCGCAAAAGTATCACACCAAAAACTCACTAACTCCGTAGCAACTTGGGAAACGTACGAAAGTTTTGACAAAACTATTATGGAGGTCACACCAGTGTCATTGCCACCAAGTGGTCACCTTTAGTATTGCAGCAACCTTCCATGGTCAGACAATATTATAGACGTCACCTCCAATGTTTAGGTGTTGCAGTGGCCCCCAGAGGACACATTAAATGTTGCATTTTATATCTGCATTTGAAATACGTTAGTAGGATGGGGACAGTATTTTGGGATGTCTGTGTTGCAAAGTTAGGTTCAGCATTTTAGGTTATAGCTCAGGAAATACTTGTTAATCTTGTGTGGTTATTAACTAAGCTGTGAATTGTTGGGTATTGACCAGGGAATTCCAGAATTCAGGAATGAAATAAAGGAAAAGATATATTGAACAACTTTTCTTTCATATGGGATTTTTGATATAAAATTGGAAATTCCCTGGTCAGTTCCAGACTATTGGTTATTTAGTAATAAACCCTGTAGGTTTCATTCTTCTAAACTTAGAATTGTTGTGAATTGAAAACCAAACTGATGAACATGAGCCAAAATAGGAAAAGTCAGAAAATGGCAAAACTGATGAATTCTCTCAACGTATCTATTCTAGACTAAATTGCGCAATATGGGTTTCAGTTCTACACAATATATTAACATGTTAAAAAACATTATTTGAGTTGCAATAATTATCTGTTAATGACATGTAGTTTTACTGAGTTTTTGTTTTAATGTTCACACTGTAGTTTGGCATTTACTGATACTTTTTTATTCTTGTATAAATATATATCACTATATATAATGTTCAACATTTTATATACACACACGGAAACACTGTTTACTATGGCTGTATATTTTAAATATTGTTCTTCCAATAAAACCTATTATATGAAATGTATTGATCAGCTTCTCAAGGAGACCTGTAATAGCTAACTGTGGCACTGCAGAGGCTTGCTAACTACATTTCCCATGATTCTCAGCTGGCCTTCTTGCTGACCATTATGTGAAATGCAGACTATATAGATATACAGTGCCAAAGTTATTGCAGCCACAGACTGACTTCAGAATATCAACTCGTCTCCATTGCTTATTAAATCTGTCCTCGAGCTGGTTTTCAAAACCTTTTAACCAGTCGTCACTAGTGCCATGTTGGTGTGGATGGTAAGGATTGGCATGGCACTGTGAGATACAGGTATGTGGGCAGGGCCGGTGTAAGGATTCCTACCTCTACATTCTTTCAGAGGTTTATTTACTAAACTCTGAATTGCAGTGAAGAGACACTTAGTGAAAGCAGATGTACTGGGGAGACATTTAGAGAAAGGAAACAGACCGGAGTGACATTTAGGGAAAGGAGAGAGAGAGAGAGACTGTTGAGATATTTAGGAAACAGATTAGGAGATATTTTAGGAGAGAGAGACCATGACATACTCATGCAAAGCGTAAGAAAATCCAGCGTTGTTTCACTGAGTTAAACAACATGTAAATCGAAAAGGCACCTCTATTGGCAATCTGGGAGACAACCAGCATAAGCTGTGTTAACCCTACAATGTAAACATTGCAGGGTTAAGGGGGACAGGCACTCTGCACCCAGACCACTTCAAAGAGATGAAGTGATCTGGGTGCCTATAGTTTCCCTTCAATTTACATAAGTCAACTTGTCTGATGGGTTCATTTTACGTTAAAAAAAAATCTGTATAATATATTACATATAAATATAATTTAATATATAAGGATCTATTTACATGGTCAGAAACTCACACACTGTGTCACTTACACACTTACTAACACATGCATTCACTAACATTTAGACACGTCACTCACACCAGTTTACATAGAGGCACTCTATATTTACACACACCAAAAATATTCCTCTTGAAAATGCTCCTCAAGATATTGCACTCTGCCATGTGCCTATAACACTCACACATTCTCCCTCCAGCCAACCCATCTGAACATATCATTAGTAGGATGTCTGCTCAGCATCCAGTACTGAATGAGAAAAGTGGGCTTTGTTTGTTAAACAGTGATCTGCAGTAAACTAAGTTACAAACGACCAGCTAAAATAACTAAACTGAGTATAGCGGAGTCTGCAAATTGTTCCAAATCAGCACATTTTGCAGTTCTGATTGAATCAACTACAATTGTGGATAATTCACAAAGTTTGTGACTCATCCGGAATGCTTTACTGTTGGACGTAAAGCAAAATGGATACATGTAATCTCCAAAACCCGATATCCCCTATATTTCTGTACAATATTAACAAAAAAAATAAAATAGAGTAAATTTGCATAATTCAAATGTTTGGGTATACCTGAACATCAACCTAGACATAAAATATGTTCTGTGCTCAAAACATTCCATTTCCAATAAATGCCCCATTTTGTTTTCTCATAAAAAGTAGTGAAGGGGTTTAAACAAAGTATTCTAGATGGGGCACACACCACCTGGCTTGGAAGTTTACTAGTGATTGTATTGCCAAACGATTTTAAAACGTTTCAAGATTTGCCAATATTTGTCACGGACGCCAACTAAGGTGAAATTACGAGCCTTTTCAGCCCTGGAGAGTACTTCTTATTCAACACATCATGGAGGATCAGCACAGATTAATAAAATATACCATGTGCAAACCACTAAAGATAGGGGGGAGAGAATGGTGAGTCAGTCGTATATAATATTACTCTCTTTAGATTACCTGATTAAGTGGGTCCTAAACACAGTGAAGGAGTTTAAGAATGCGTGGGATAGGCATAAGGCTACCCTAGAGAATTAGTTGTGGGTGCAGAGGCCTACACGTACTAGGAGATCTCTTACCAGGTATATAAATAATACGTATATTTAAATAGTGGGTGTACAGACACTAAAAAGAAAACGTAGAAAAAGTGGTTTTAAACGGGGAGCATAAAATGTAGACTAAAACAAAATCTGGTACAGATACAGTACTACACACAGAGGGATAAATGACAATAAGATCAGCTTAAACTGGATAAAACAATAAAATCCAAAAAGTAAAGCTACGGGAAACACAAAAGCATTAGAAACAGTATAGGTGCCCCAAATGGATAAATATGGTCTAGATATGGTTTATAACGACATTGATCCTTAATGGGTTAACAGCCAGAACACCCAAACCTTTCCAAGCGGCATTAAAGTGCTTTAAAGCACAAATAGAAAAATAAAAGGGGGGGGGGAGAGGATATTAGTGAATTATTATTTTTTCTATTACAATCATAGATGCAAAACGTGACCATGAAACCTAGATACAAGTATGTAGAAAACATGTAAACACAATAATCATTTAGCTTGGGTTAGAGGCTTTTATTGTAATTAACATCCTTAAGTAACAAAAACATCATTTAGAGGACACACAATGTGGGAATTGTTGATTTCTTCAGGATTCTGCTAAACGAGGAAGTTCATTACCCAGAATTACTTTCCTCTCCACGCCGCTTTCTGTAATGGCGGCCAGACGGATAACGCCACCACTGGACCCGTCTCGTTCCATGGCCAATGATAAAGCTGTAACAAGAGCATCATTCATTATTCCGTGCAAAACACAGTGAAACAAATATCCACGACGTTGCAGTCCGCATAAAAGTACGCATGGACACAGGTTTTTACCAGTGGTAATATAAACATTACAATTCTCAAAAATAGTAAAACGTATCCAAACAAAGGCCCCATTTAAACATTATTCTGTAAATATTGTATTTTATCGGTTTCTAGATAGAATGTTAAGTAGATCCAGCAGGAAACCTGCATGAAGGACTTAAAAGACAACTGTCACCAAATTTACTTTATTATAAAAATCTTTGCAGCATGTAATAAAAAGATGTTTTTTAATAAGGTATATGTAAAAACAGCTGTATATCTGGTCCCTACCACTGGCACATTACTGAATGCCTTCGTTCAGGTTGAGTTAGAATCTGACCACAAGTTCTATGATCTGCCCCGCTTCACTCTCTGTACTGAGCTGTGATGTCATCAGTCATCGCCCTGTGTGGTCTAAGCAGTGTCTTTCGGTGCCTGGTCTTTTATCCTCCTAAGACTGCCTTCTTGTTTGAGTTGCTACAGCTAAATAGCTGATTGTTTGGATATCGATTTGGTCTGTCTTAAAGGACCAGCTTGCTGAAGTGCTTTATTGGTGAGGAGTACCCTAGTTTAACCCCAGTTTACAATAGAAATCAGCACTTTTATAAATTAACTAGGGAACTCATCCCGTCAAACATCCCCCATAGCTAACGGAAGTGGCAGGTACGCTCCGTAGCTCTAGACGTGCGCGGGTGTGCACCAAGTCAGAGGCTTCTCATTGAGATTGGTTATTTCCCTATGAATAGAATGAAAGTCTCTTCCGGGAAAAAAAAGAGTAGGGCTTGCTAAGGCTGCCATTCATAAGATCTTTCAAGATATACCCACAATGAATCCATGCATGTATTCACTGGAGGTATACATACTAAGTAACGATTTTTCTTTTTGTTAATATGTGGGAATTTTCATGTGTTGAATCACTCATCCTTTACCTACACTAAAAATAAATGTTTTCAGTACATGCTACAAGGATTCTTATAACAAAAATGTTAAGGGGTGAGCGTTGCCCTTTAATCATCCTGTCTTAATACATTATGCAGATCTAGATATATATAGAATCTCATTCTAAATGTCAGCTTGTGGCACATATCCCCAGAAAATGCAGAGACTAGAATCCAGGTCCTCCCTTTATTTTCAAAGGAAGCATTGCATATTGATTGATTCTAGAAAACCCTGTGGGATCTTTATTGAATATGCAATAGGCAATTCAGCAGTTGTGAGTAATTCAGGCCTCCCCAATAGCCCCGCTTTAGTTTCCTGAAGTCCAGCATCTGGAGCCACCAGGGATCTGATCCCGGGCAGCACAGCGAGCACATCTTATGATGCTGTGCAGCGGGCACTAGGCCTTCAGCTGTGCTCTTTGCATGGACTTCAAGGTTGTGAAGTATGAGTAATTTCACACAAAAACAAAGAATAAAACTTAAAAAGGAAGCTGAAACATTTAGAGAAGCAGCCACGGGAATGGAAACCTTAGATATTGCAGTGTGTCCAGAAGGCAGTATCCCCTGACTCCTATAAAACAATACATCCCTACAATAACGACAATCTAAGCGGAGTGGACTCACTGTTCAAACTAAGGAAAAACAAGGTGAAGCAGTTTATAGCTCCGTTTCTGCATACCAAAGTGGAACCGTAACAGTTAAAACTAGTCTGCAAAACAAAACGGGTAGTGGGAGATTAATAGCACATGCATTCTGAGAAGTCGCAGGGATCTCTGCATCACTCAGAGCCTGGATTATTGGGGTCTCCCACCCACCAGTTTACAAAGAAGGGAAATATAAATAACCACTTCTTGGTTTTCACGTAGGGTGAGATAGATAAATAGCTTAAGTCTCACCATTAGCTGTGAATGTTAAACACTCCTCCTTTGTCATTCCTGTTTTGTATGTAGAATCAACAAAGCCGTATATATAGGAACTGCCGGAACCTCCAATAGAGAAAGACTGGTGAACCATCATTCCTCCCATGGGTACAGTGTATACCTGTGGGACCAAGAGGAAAGTAAAAAACATCAGGAACGGGAGGAAGGCATGAAAGGTGACAGACGGCAAGACAGACACAATGAAAGACCCTATAACTCAAATTCTAAAGAATGAAACCAGAGTGGACATTCGCACCTGCCCTCCTTTCCTCTTGTCCCACCCGGCAACGATAATCCCCGCTGTCAGATCCTCGCGGTAGCGGTAACACATCTCCTTAAATAGACTGGCGGCTGTGTGTACCAAGGGAAGTCCATCAAGCTCAATACTGTGGGAGGACAAATGTATTATCACGATTTATTTATTAAGAACCAATATATTCTACAGTGTTAGAAATGTTGAGTATCTAAGGGTTAAATAAAACACGACGGCTAGTGGCTAAAGTTGCAGAAATAACATCAATTATCTACAGGGGCAGAATCTATGCACCAAAACCATCTCATTCAGCTGAAGTCAACTGAGTGCTTAGACGGGTGTTTCCAAATTGGTGTTCCGCGAGAACACAATAGGGGTTCCGCCAAAATTTCTAAAAACAAAATGGCAGCGGGCAGCAATAGGCAGTGATCTCCCTGTTCATCTCCCTTGCGCGCACAGCAGTGATTCCAGGGCCGGAATATGACGTCACTCCGGCTACGGCATCACTAAGAGGCGCGCAAGGGAGCTGAGCTGGGAGATCACTGCTCCCTCGCCACCCGCTCTGCATCCCCAATGGACACCAGGGACTGAACGCCAGCCGCTCAGCAGCCACACTGGACCCCAGAGACTTCACACTAGTCTCTCAGCAGCCCCACTGAACACCAGCAGTCCCATGCCACCACTCCCAAAGGTAGGGGGGCTGGATGGAGTAAAATTAAAAAAAATAAAGTGTGTGTGTCTGACAAAGAGTTGATACACGATGTTGATATACTATGTCAAAGAGTTTCACGGGAAAAATTATTTGGGAACCCCTGGCTTAGACTATCCCTTTAATAAAGATATATATACACACACACCAAACAAGGATAATACATATTAGAAGTAAGTCTTAATTTTATATTTAAATTTTCAAAGAAGTGACAGTTGCCCTTTCACCCATGTAGTGATTAAGATTTTGTGAGTGTTACCTGTGGAATCCTAACTGGTAAGAGACAGCATCTGCGATGGCTTGGGTATCTGCAGCAGATCCAGAGCGGCAACAAAATATTCTGTCATGCACAGGAGTGAGTTTATCGGTGACCCGGTTAGCGATGTAGGCCCTGCAAGAAAAGAAAACACATGATTCCGTGTTCTGTTCCTGCCATAAATGCAACTCCTGTACCGGCCACCTCTTCACTTTACTCACCCAGTGGTTGTTCTGGAATCAGCACCAATAACAACACCGCCATCAAATTCAACAGCCATGATGGTTGTCTACAAGGGAAAACAAACAACATCTCTTTAAATATAAATCAGTGTTTTAAAAACTTTTTACAAATTAGATATATGGCGGTGAATTCAAAGCCCATTCCGTCTCATTCAGTTGGTTATAGTGCCTGGAGTCCCCAGGCAATAGCACTCCATTGAGTATTAAACCATTTTAAGCAGTTTAAACACTGAAGGAGGGTCCCTGGCAAACCACAGCATAGCAACCATCCCCCCCGGAGACATGGCTAAGGCAGAAATTAGACAATATCGTGTAGCCATAACAATTTATACCAGTAATGAGCGCTTGACACTCTCACCCGCTGCAGCTCAGGCTACTGCTTCCTCGCTAGACCAAGAAGCACATAGGGCATGGGTTGCTAGGGACTCTCACATTAAAAACAGTTTAATGCTAAATGGAGGGACAGTGCCAGAGTTTCCAGACACTATAACCACTTCAATGAGATGAGGCAGTTACAGTGCCTACAATGTAATGTTCTGTGAAATGGCATGTTTACATTTGTCCCTAAGAACACCTCCTGGGACTGTCACGTAAACTGTCACTAGAGGGGCTTTCTAGCATGGTCCTGCAATCTTTGCAGAGTGTGAGCGTGCCAAACTTTGGAAGAATGTACCGTATTTATCGGCATATAACACGCACCGGCATATAACACGCACCTCATTTTAAGAAGGAAATTTCAGGGAAAAAAAACTTAAAGGACCACTATAGTGCCAGGAAAACATACTCGTTTTCCTGGCACTATAGTGCCCTGAGGGTGCCCCCACCCTCAGGGACCCCTTCCCGCCGGGCTCTGGAGAGAGGAAGGGGTTAAACACTTACCTTTCTCCAGCGCCGGGCGGGGAGCTGTACTCCTCCTCTCCTCCTTGCTCGCGACGTCATCGGCTGAATGCGCATGCATTCAGCCGGTCGCATAGGAAAGCATTTGCAATGCTTTCCTATGGACGCTTGCGTGCTCTCACTGTGATTTTCACAGTGAGAAGCACGCAAGCGCCTCTAGCGGCTGTCAATAAGACAGCCACTAGAGGCTCTGGAGGCTGGATTAACCCTCAGTATAAACATAGCAGTTTCTCTGAAACTGCTATGTTTATATATTAAAAAAAAAAAAAAAAAGTTAATCCTAGAGGGACCTGGCACCCAGACCAATTCATAAAGCTGAAGTGGTCTGGGTGCCTAGAGTGGTCCTTTTAAATTTCAAATAAAGAACTTCTTACTTCCCCTTCCCCCTCTTACCCCTTCTTACTCCCCCTCCCCCTCTTCTTACTTCCCCCTCTTACCCCTTTCTTACCCCCCTCCCCTCTTGCCCCTTTCTTACTCCCCCCTCACCCCCTTTCTTACTCCCCCCCTCCCCTCTTCTTACCCCCTTTCTTACTCCCCTCCCTCTTCTTACCCCCCCTTTCTTACTCCCCCTTCTTGCTTCCCCTCCCTCTTACCCCCCCTCTTCTTACCCCCCCCCTCTCTTACTCCCCTCCCCCCACTTCTTGCTCCCCCCCCTCCCCTCTATTCACCCCCTTCTTACCCCCCTCCCCTGTAGCGTGGCCGAGCTGCTCTTCTGTCCGCGGTGTCCGGCCGGAGTGATAGGAAGGTGCACACTCAGTGTGCACCTTCCTGTCAGTCCGACCAGGTACAGGAAACAGAAACTCCTGTTCAGTCTTTTACTGATTCATTGAAAGGGTAAGTGCCACTATAATTGTGTGTGTATATATATATATATATAAAACTGTGTCCTGTACTCATTAAGTGTTTTGCTGTCTCAGTATTATATATCAAGAAATATATAATATTATAGTTCCCCCCAGTAATAGTGTGATATCCCTCTCAATTCATTGTTACAGTCTCAGTATTATATATTAATAGATATACATTATATGCCTCTCTATTCATTGTTACTGTCTCAGTATTATATAATATTATATTTCCCCCAGTAACAGTGTGAGGTCCTGTATCACTCATTGTTACTGTGTCAGTAATAAATAATATTATATTTCCCCCAGTAATAGTGTATTATTACTCATTGTTGCTGTCTCAGTATTATATATTAATAGCTATATAATAATAGGAGGTCCTCTATTATTACTTATTGTTGCTGTTTTAGGATTATATATTATTATTATATTTCCCCCAGTAACAGTGTGAGGTCCTGTATTATTACTCATTGTTGCTGTCTCAGTATTATATATTAATAGATATATAATAGGAGGTCCTCTATTACTCACTGTTACTGTCCTGGTATTATATATTAATAGATAGATAATAATAGGAGGTCCTGTATTATTACTCATTGTTGCTGTGTCGGTATTATATATTAATAGATAGAGAATAATAGGAGGTCATGTATTATTACACACTGTTACTGTCTGAGTATTATATATTAATAGATAGCTAAAAATAAGAGGTCATGTTTGTATTATTACTCATTGTTCCTGTCTCTGTATTATATATTTATAGATAGATAATAGGAGGTCCTGTATTATTACTCACAGTTACAGTCTCAATATTATATATTAATAGATAGATTATATTATAATAGGAGGTCCTGTATTATTACTCATTGTCCCTGTCTCAGTATTATATATTAATAGATAAATAATAAGAGGTGCTGTATTATTACTCATTGTTGCTGTCTCGGTATTATATAGTAATAGACAGATAATAGGAGATGATGTATTATTACTCACTGTTACTGTTACTATTATATTATTATGAGGTGCTGCATTTTATTATATATTATAATATTAGGAGGTGCTCAGTAATTGCTGTATTATATCATATTATTATAGTATATCAGTAGGTGCTGTATTATATCAAATAGTATTATTTTATTAGGAGGTGCTGTGTTATATTATCATTATATTATTATTATATATATTATATTAGGAGGTGATGTGCTGTATTATTATTATATATCAGTAGGTGCTATATTATTATATATCAGTAGGTGCTATATTATTATATATCAGTAGGTGCTATATTATTATTATTATATATCAGTAGGTGCTATATTATTATTATATATCAGTAGGTGCTATATTATTATTATATGTTATTATTATATATCAGTAGGTGCTATATTATTATTATTATATATCAGTAGGTGCTATATTATTATTATATATCAGTAGGTGCTATATTATTATTATATATCAGTAGGTGCTATATTATTATTATATATCAGTAGGTGCTGTATTATTATTATATTATTATATATCAGTAGGTGCTATATTATTATTATATATCAGTAGGTGCTATATTATTATTATATATCAGTAGGTGCTATATTATTATTATTATATATTATTATATATCAGAAGGTGCTATATTATTATATATCAGTAGGTGCTATATTATTATTATATATTATATATCAGTAGGTGCTATATTATTATTATATATCAGTAGGTGCTATATTATTATTATATATTATTATATATCAGTAGGTGCTGTATTATTATTATATATTATTATTATATATCAGTAGGTGCTGTATTATTATATATCAGTAGGTGCTGTATTATTATTATATATTATTATATATCAGTAGGTGCTGTATTATTATTATATTATTATATATCAGTAGGTGATGTATTATTATTATATTATTATATATCAGTAGGTGCTGTATTATTATTATATTATTATATATCAGTAAGTGCTATATTATTATTATATATCAGTAGGTGCTATATTATTATTATTATATTATTATTATATATCAGTAGGTGCTATATTATTATTATATTATTATTATATATCAGTAGGTGCTATATTATTATATTATTATATATCAGTAGGTGCTATATTATTATTATTATATTATTATATATCAGTAGGTGCTATATTATTATTATATTATTATATATCAGTAGGTGCTATATTATTATTATATTATTATATATCAGTAGGTGCTATATTATTATTATATATTAGTAGGTGCTATATTATTATTATATTATTATATATCAGTAGGTGCTATATTATTATTATATTATTATTATTATATATCAGTAGGTGCTATATTATTATTATATTATTATTATATATCAGTAGGTGCTATATTATTATATTATTATATATCAGTAGGTGCTATATTATTATATTATTATATATCAGTAGGTGCTATATTATTATTATTATTATTATATTATTATTATATATCAGTAGGTGCTATATTATTATTATATATCAGTAGGTGCTATATTATTATATATTATTATATATCAGAAGGTGCTATATTATTATATATCAGTAGGTGCTATATTATTATTATATATCAGTAGGTGCTATATTATTATATAATTATATATCAGTAGGTGCTATATTATTATTATTATATATCAGTAGGTGCTATATTATTATTATATATTATTATTATATATCAGTAGGTGCTGTATTATTATTATATATTATATATCAGTAGGTGCTGTATTATTATTATATTATTATATATCAGTAGGTGCTATATTATTATATATCAGTAGGTGCTATATTATTATTATATGTTATTATTATATATCAGTAGGTGCTATATTATTATTATTATATATCAGTAGGTGCTATATTATTATTATATATCAGTAGGTGCTGTATTATTATTATATATTATATATCAGTAGGTGCTGTATTATTATTATATTATTATATATCAGTAGGTGCTGTATTATTATTATATATCAGTAGGTGCTGTATTATTATTATATATCAGTAGGTGCTATATTATTATATATCAGTAGGTGCTATATTATTATTATATGTTATTATTATATATCAGTAGGTGCTATATTATTATTATATATCAGTAGGTGCTATATTATTATTATATATCCGTAGGTGCTATATTATTATTATATATCCGTAGGTGCTATATTATTATTATATATCAGTAGGTGCTATATTATTATTATATATCAGTAGGTGCTATATTATTATTATATATCAGTAGGTGCTATATTATTATTAATATATATCAGTAGGTGCTATATATTATTATATATCAGTAGGTGCTATATTATTATTATATATCAGTAGGTGCTATATTATTATTATATATCAGTAGGTGCTATATTATTATTATATATCAGTAGGTGCTATATTATTATTATATATCAGTAGGTGCTATATTATTATTATATATCAGTAGGTGCTATATTATTATTATATATCAGTAGGTGCTGTATTATTATATTATATATCAGTAGGTGCTGTATTATTATATTATTATATATCAGTAGGTGCTATATTATTATTATATATCAGTAGGTGCTATATTATTATTATATATTATTATATATCAGAAGGTGCTATATTATTATATATCAGTAGGTGCTATATTATTATTATATATTATTATATATCAGTAGGTGCTATATTATTATTATATATCAGTAGGTGCTATATTATTATTATTATATTATTATTATATATCAGTAGGTGCTGTATTATTATTATATATTATTATTATATATCAGTAGGTGCTGTATTATTATTATATATCAGTAGGTGCTGTATTATTATATATTATTATATATCAGTAGGTGCTGTATTATTATTATATTATTATATATCAGTAGGTGATGTATTATTCTTATATTATATATCAGTAGGTGCTGTATTATTATTATATTATTATATATCAGTAGGTGCTGTATTATTATATTATTATATATCAGTAGGTGCTGTATTATTATATTATTATATATCAGTAGGTGCTATATTATTATTATATTATTATATATCAGTAGGTGCTATATTATTATTATATATCAGTAGGTGCTATATTATTATTATATTATTATATATCAGTAGGTGCTATATTATTATTATTATATTATTATATATCAGTAGGTGCTATATTATTATATTATATATCAGTAGGTGCTATATTATTATTATATATTATATATCAGTAGGTGCTATATTATTATTATTATATATCAGTAGGTGCTATATTATTATTATTATTATTATTATTATATATCAGTAGGTGCTATATTATTATTATTATAATATATCCGTAGGTGCTATATTATTATATTATTATTATTATATATCAGTAGGTGCTGTATTATTATTATATTATTATATATCAGTAGGTGCTATATTATTATATATCAGTAGGTGCTATATTATTATTATATTATTATTATATATCAGTAGGTACTATATTATTATATTATTATTATTATTATATATCAGTAGGTGCTATATTATTATATTATTATTATTATATATCAGTAGGTGCTATATTATTATATTATTATTATTATATATCAGTAGGTGCTATATTATTATTATATATCAGTAGGTACTATATTATTATTATATATCAGTAGGTGCTATATTATTATTATATATCAGTAGGTGCTATATTATTATTATATATCAGTAGGTGCTATATTATTATTATATATCAGTAGGTGCTATATTATTATTATATATCAGTAGGTGCTATATTATTATTATATATCAGTAGGTGCTATTATTATTATATTATTATTATATATCAGTAGGTGCTATATTATTATTATATATCAGTAGGTGCTATATTATTATTATATATCAGTAGGTGCTTATATTATTATTATATATCAGTATATCAGTATTATGCTATATTATTATATTATTATTATTATATATCAGTAGGTGCTATATTACTATTATTATTATATATCAGTAGGTACTATATTATTATTATATATCAGTAGGTGCTATATTATTATTATATATCAGTAGGTGCTATATTATTATTATATATCAGTAGGTGCTATATTATTATTATATATCAGTAGGTGCTATATTATTATATTATTATTATATTATTATTATATATCAGTAGGTGCTATATTATTATTATATATCAGTAGGTGCTATATTATTATATATTAGGAGGTGCTGTATCATTGAAGGCCTAGCAGTTCAGGCTGTCCCCGGTCTCTCGTACCCCCCGCCCCCCGGCTCCCCCCGTTCTCCCCCCGGCACACTCACCCCGGTGCTGACGGGTCGGTCCATCCAGTCCATGCCGGAGGGGAGGCCGCCGGTGTGAGCGGACGCGGTGGGGAAGCGCATTACTCTGGCCGCCATGACTGAGCTGTGAGAGCGCCGGTGGGAGAATGAGGGCGGAGTCACACACTACGGAAACCGCGTCAGGCCAGCTCCGGGTGCACCAACATGGCGGAACACGCGCTCTCTCACTCGGCGGGTGCAGCAAGATGGCGGAGAGCGCTGTATCACTCGGCGGGTGCAGCAAGATGGCGGAGAGCGCTGTATCACTCGGCGGGTGCAGCAAGATGGCGTCCAGATCGTCGTGCGCAGGGGGTGTTCCAAAATGGTGGGACGGAGTCTCGCCGCTCAGTGGGTGTACCAAGATGGCAGCCGGTGGGCTGGGTATTTTCACGGGTAGTGAAATCTGATAGAAGAGAGCTGCCTAGCTATAGAATGTGTCTGAAAGTGAGCAATGTACAATAGGTGTACCAAGATGGCGTCTTATCATTTTATATGGGATTCATAAATAAAGTAACAAACCTCTCAGATATCCCATTCACAGAGGACAGACATTATTTATTCCGTGTTAATACAGCTAAAACAAACTCTGTGTCTCCTACAGGGACCGCAGGGCGCCAGCAAGTCCAGCTTTCTGTGGGTCTTGTCCACATTCAGTTCCCTTATGTCCCCAGGCAGCACGGCGCAAGCGCATCGTTAGACATGCTGTGCAGCGGGCACTCGGACCATACAGAGACTGCGTCAGCCTGGCACCCTTAATGGACCTGGAAGTAGGGGGCCCAGAGGGTGCATCAGCATAGCGCCCTGCATGGACCTGCAAGTAGGTTATCCAGAGAGTTTGCGCAGGATGTAACCCTGCATGGACCTGCAAGTAGGTGGTCCAGGGGGTGTGTCCGCTTAGTGCGCTGCATGGACCTGCAAGTTGGGAGCTCAGAGGGTGCGTCAGCATAGCACCCTGCATGGACCTGCAAGTAGGTGGTCCAGAGGGTGCGGCAGCTTTGCCTCCTGCATGGACCTACAAGTAGGTGGTCCAGAGAGTGTGTCAGCTTGGCACCCTGCATGGACCTGCAAGTAGGTGGTCCGGAGTGTGCGTAAGCTTGGCATCCTGCAAGTAGGTGGTCCAGAGAGCGTGTCAGCATGGCACGCTGCATGGACCTGCAACTTGGGGGCCCAGAGGGTGCGTCAGCATGGCACCCTTCATGGACCTGCAACTTGAGGGCCCAGCGGGTGCGTCAGCATGGCGCCCTGCATGTACCTGCAAGTACGTGGTCCAGAGGGTGCGTCAGCATAGCGCCCTGCATGGACCTGCAAGTTGGGGGCTCAGCGTGTGCGTCAGCATTGCGCCCTGCGTGGACCTGCAAGTAGGTGGTCCAGAGGGTGCGGCAGCTTTGCCTCCTGCATGGACCTGCAAGTAGGTGGTCCAGAGGGTGCGTCAGCTTAGCGCACTGCATGGACCTGCAACTTGGGGGTCCAGCGGGTGCGTCAGCTTAGCGCGCTGCATGGACCTGCAAGTTGGGAGCTCAGAGGGTGCGTCAGCATAGTGCCCCGCACGGACCTGCAAGTTGTGGGCCCAGAGGGTGCGTTAGCATGGCGCCCTTCATGGACCTGCAACTTGGGGGCCCAGAGGGTGTGTCAGCATGGCGCCCTGCATGGACCTGCTAGTAGGTGGTCCAGACGGTGCGGCAGCTTGGCGTCCTGCATGGACCTACAAGTAGGTGGATCCAGAGGGTGCGGCAGCTTGGCGTCCTG